TAAGTAGCCTTTAGTAGCCACCATTTTGCATCCTTGCTATCAGATGTGAGCACTGGATATAATAGTTTCTCATATAATTAAGAGTTTTTATCCAGGTATCTGCGCTGTGCATTTAAGTTTTTTTGTGCAGCAGGGCACAAGGAATTTCACCACTTGTGCAGCATAAACTAGAGACTTCCTAGCCAGGGAAGCCAGCATTTTTGGACCCATGAGCATTTGCAAACTGAAGAAACTGGCATGGACATCACACACACAATTACACATTGCACCCCTATTTTATTGTCTAAAATGATTCTTTCAAGCTTGATTTTAGGAGACCCTGTGGGGGCAAGGAAAGGCCTCTGTATGCCCCCAGGCACCATGTTGGCAGCCCTTGTTTTACCCAGAACAGATGGTTGTCTTGTCTCCCTAGTCCCTACCATCACATAATTTAAAGGTATAAAATGTATCTCCGGACACAGGCTAGAAACCTGACATAGGGTTGCTGTGGGGACAACATGGATCTTTAACACAATAAATACTATTTCAGCTCAAAATAAATAGAAAACCCTCCATGGTCTTTACAATAGACATTAGTCAGTAACATTCAGCCTTAACCTAATCCTTATTTTACATACAGTGAAACTTGGCCAGGGCCAATGCTCTTTTCCTTAGGAAACCCAGGACTAAATGTTTTCACCTAGTTTTGTTTTTCACATTCTTTAGACTTTGCTATATCTATTATTTAAGGAGATGGCAACAAATCCTAAGGTGAGAAAACACAGATATAATTAGGTAAGCATGATCCAGGCTTCAATTATTAGGCATATCTCCTCATGACCTGTTTCTTTTGTGAAGACTCAGGGCCAGAAGGCACAGCCTACAGCCTAGGCTCCTCTCCACGACCGTTAGAGCAGAGGTTTTCCCAAAGGGCAGCCATCTTACTCTCTTGCAGCAAAAGCCATCAAATGAGGATTGTGGCACCTTGAAAGACTTGCACGTGTATTATGGCCTAATTAGCAAGCCTGGCCTAATGTACAGATGTTATCAAGTGATAAGGCTGATTTCAGAAAATAAAGCAGAGCAAGCCATCAGTTTCATTCTTGCCTCCTCTGGTCAGTTAGCATACTTAACAGATGAGATGTTCCACAGCACAGGTGTTACCACAAAAAAGAGATTAGATTGCTCCTTGTCCTTATGTAAGGTGCAAAGTGCAAAGACAGGCCAAGGAATGATGCATGACATTTTGTTTGGTTTTTTCCAAACTAGGGGCTGCCACCCCTGCTCCCTCAGCTTGCCTACTTGGCAACCACTTTGCCAACCCCTGCTTCTTTACATCTCACTTAAGGTTGCCATACATCCAGATTTTCCCGGATATATCCGGAATACCACAGTTGGCAGCAGTGTCTGGGTGGAAATCAGGAAAATGTCCGGAAAAATCCAAGCGTATGGCAGTCCATGTAGGTAGTGCTGCTTATACCATTTCCCCATAAAAATAGATCAAAAACAGTATTTTTAAAAAGCAATTTTGCTCAAAAACAGTGCGATGCAGCAGCAAAAAAACTAATGCTATTCTAGGCTGCATCAACAGAAGTATAGTGTCCAGATCAAGGGAAGTCATAGTACCACTCTATTCTGCCTTCGTCAGACCACACTTGGAAAACTATGTCCAATTCTGGGCACCACAATTTATGATGAATGTTGACAAGCTGGAAGATGTGCGGAGGAGGGCAAACAAAATGATCAAGGGTCTGGAAACTAATCCTTATGAGGAACGGTTGAAAGAGCTGGGTATGTTTAGCCTGGGAAAGAAGAGACTGAGAGGAGATATGAGAGCCATCTTCAAACATCTTAAGGGCTGTCACATGAAGGAGGGAGCATGCTTGTTTTCTCCTGCTCTTGAGGGCAGGATCCGAACCCATGGATTCAAGTTACAGGAAAGGAGATTCTGACTAAACATCACAAATAACTTTGCGATGGCAAGAGCTGTGAAATGACAGTAAAACAGACTTCCTCGGAAGCTGGTGGACTCTCCTTCCTTGGGGGTTTTCAATCAGAGTTGGATGGCCATCTGTCACAGATGCTTTAGCAGAGATTCCTGCATTGCAGGGGGTTGGACTAGATCCCTTTCCAACTCTCAGATTCTGTTATTCTAACTTTGGGCAAAACTAATAAAAGCTCAACAACTTTTCTGTCTGTAGTTTCACTGTTTGAAGCTTGGCAACCCTATCTCACTCAATCACTCGCCTATGCCTTCACTGCTCACCCGAACCTGCCCCCCCAGCTGTGTAAAATCCGCCAAAAATGAGTATTTTACCAAGTCATCTAATGTTGGCACTATGGTTACTATGGCACTATGGTAAAATACTCTTTCCTCTAGAAAGGTTGTTCAACAGAAGCAAAGCAGGCAAAAATTCAAGAGCAGCTGTTTTGCCAATACTGAGATGAAGGGACCTGTAAAACATTCACCCATTGAATGTCTTTTGTGCAATGAAGCTGTCAAACGCACAATACTCCACTACAATAATAATAATCGTGGGACCTGACAGCTAGAATTCTGAATAGAATGTATGGTTACATCATTGTAGCTAGTTTCTACTGATGGAGACTAGCCTAAAAAGGAGCAGGAAATAAGCTACTTATTTTAATGGAGGCAAAGACTTGTGAACTGTGTCTGAGCTAGTTTCACCTTCAACTGACAGGTTTTCAAAGGACCAAACAGAACAGTTTACACACCAACAGCCCCTCCTCACAATAAATGAAAGTAATGAATGAAGGCTGAGTTAGAGCTGTTCTCCTGAAAAGCTCTATCGAGTCTTTGATTGAAAATTCTATCTATTTGAGATGTGAGTTAATGATATTTACGGGCCATTGAGTAACAGTGCAAGCAATTTTACTGTGATTATTACAGCTTTAAAATGGATCGGGCATTTTGACGTGTCTGAAACAAATGGGAGGCAAGGATACTCTTATACAAAGCAATCAGAGAATGGGCATGCAGTAAACTAAAAAGACAGCTTCACACACACAGAAGTTTAAAGAAAAAAAGGTGCAGGTGAGAAGACAGATGCAGCTGTTCCAAGAAGAGTACTGTACAAAAGAACTCTTCTATATATGTGTGGCTGTCTTACATTTTACTTATGGCCAAGGCTTTTCTCCACTTACAGAACAATTCTATGCCCGTTTCCTCAGAATTCTATGTCTTCAATGCAATTTATTCCTGATAAACATGTGTAAGGCTGTTCCAACAAACCCTTGACACCCTTGTCCATATCCTCAGAAAAATGTCTTTATGCCTTACACGACACATTCAGATCAACCCACTTGGACTCCTAGGAGTGACCTTACCTCCTTTTCAGTCTCCATTATGCTCCATTTTTTAAACCTTTTGCCTGTATTCCCAGACTGACCCAACTTATTGCATTACTTCTGTTTTCTGGATCCCTTGACCATGTTCCTAAAATGCTCCTCTTCACCCACACCCTTGGCCATACCCCTGCTATGTAGTCTCGAGTGCAAATGAAGGCCAGCCAGGCACATTTTGCACCCAAGGCTGGTCAAGTTATACCCGAGACAAATCTTAGGTTGCCTCCCTAACCAAAATATTAGAAAAATGCTAATCTGGTGGTCTCCTTTCCATCGCCACCCCTGGGCTAACTTTGTATCATTTAAGTATTTTAAATTTGTAAAATTGCCTCAGCAGAAAGGATTTAAGCCCAACAGCTAACTGAACAACTAGCCCTGCTGTCCTTTCACAGTGCCCAAAATGAGACACAGCCCCAGGGCCGGATTTATGTATAGGCTAAGTAGGCTGAAGCCTAGGGCCTCTAGATCAAGGGGGCCTCGCCTGCCTGCCCACTCCCCAGCACTGCAGTATCCCCTCTCCCAAAATTGCAAACCCAAGATTTCATGCGAGGGCATTTCTCCCCCATTTCAATGACATTTTGCTTCAAAAGGAAAGGCGGACTTGGACATCGTCTTCCTCCATAATCCTGTAAGGGAGAGGTCACGTACTCAACTTGGATACCAAGTTGGTAACTGGACCTCATCCTGAGGGCGGACAGAAGTATAGGGATCAGTTCAGAGTCAGAGGAACTGCGTTTTGTCTTATTTTATTTGTGCCCGGTAGTGTTTTCCTTTTCTGTGTTTAATTTAAAGTGCCTTTTGTGTTTAAAATCCTGTTACTTGTAGACAGTCAAGAAAATATTTGTTCTTTGTTTAAAAGCCCAGTCTAGTGCTGTGCCTACAGTCTCATCCGCTCTGCCCTCTACCAGTGCCTTAAGAAGGGTTCTGGGAGGGGCAAAGCCCAAAAATGTGCAAGTGCCAAGCCTCCAGGAGAAACACAAAGTTAGGGGTTTTCATCTCCAAACCCCAGGAGTCAGCCAGAGGGATCTCACTGCCCCTCAAGAAAGGCATAGGGAAGTCAGTGAGTGGTGGCAGCTACTGAAGAGTGTCAGAAGCCCGAGTCTACCCAGTTGAAGATTAATTTTTATTCTTATTTTTAGATTCTAATCTAAGCATGAGTTAAAGATTTAAAAGTGGCGCTAGCAAGCGCAAGAGACAGAGACTCGGAAATGCTATGATAATGAAGTTAAGACCAATCACTGCTTTTGTGCATCAACCACTCATTGAAGCAACAAGAGTGAGCAGTAAAGCTATTCAGTCTGAACCAGCTACAAGCATTCAACCAGACAAAAACCTCCCTGAAAGAGAAACAGTGAAGCAGGATGTAGAACAGCAAGCTCATGGGTAGGCAAACTAAGGCCCGGGGGCTGCATCCAGTCCAATCGCCTTCTAAATCCAGCCCGCGGACGGTCCTGGAATCAGTGTTTTTACATGAGTAGAATGTGTCCTTTTATTTAAAATGCATCTCTGGGTTATTTGTGGGGCATAGAAATTTGTTCATTTCCCCCCCCAAAAAAATATAGTCTGCCCCCCCACAATGTCTGAGGGACAGTGGACTGGCACTCTACTGAAAAAGTTTACTGACCCCTGAGCAAGCTAATTATGAGGAAGCAGCCATGATACTAGCTCAAACTGGAAAAATAGAACTAATTCAAGAGTCACTTACTGGGCAGGGAGAGGCAAAAGAGCCACAAGAAAAGAATGTGAATAGTCAGATTTTGCAGTTCACACCTGATATGATAGCAGGCCAAGTCCAAGGTGTTCTGGATGCAGATAAAGATGATGCCAAACATATATCTACTGTACCAGATGTTGGTTTGTGGTCAGAATTATCACACGAGGAAGTATCCTACTGGGTAGAGAGGGGTTCCTCTCAAGTTCTGCATCTTTGTGGACCATTTTTAAATTCCAAACGAGTGTACAAAAAGTAGTCCAGGTTTTGCACAAAAGCTCTTTTTTATTCAACAAAAGCAAATGGGGAAACATATAGCCGAGAGTGGCTTGCATATTCTCCCTGAAAAGGGCGGATTTTTTTGCTTTGTTTGTAAACACTTTCCAAACCTTGCATCTTCTTCCACAGCTTTAGCTAACGAAGGTTTTGATGACTGGCACAACCGCCATCTTATCCAAAGTCATGAAAACTCAGAGAAGCATAGGAATGCCATGTTGGCCTACCTGACAAAGGCGGCAAATGTTTACTTCCAAGCCAGAGGAACAAATAAAAGCAGAACAGCAGTACTGGTGGCATGTCATGGAGAGAATTATTGCTGTAATATGCACTCTTGTAGAACGAGGCTTACCATTCAGGTGAGATGATGAACACTTTGGATCACCAAATAGTGGCAATTATCTTGGTCTTTTAGAACTAGTGGCAAAATTTGATCCATTTTTACATGCTCATATCAATCGGTATGGACATTCTTATTTATCAAAAACTGTATGTGAGGAAATTGTTCAGCTCATGGCAAAAAAAGTTAAGGATGCAATTCTGGCTGATGTGAGAAAGGCTGGATATTTCAGCTTTTCAGTAGATTCCACTCCTGACATTTCACATACTGATCAGCTGAATTTAATTATCAGATATGTATCACCTGAAGGTTTGCCAACTGAGAGATTTTTAACTTTCCTTGAGCTAAAAGACCACTCAGGAGAAAGCATGGCTGATTTAGTATTCAACTATTTTACTACTGAGCTTGAAATTGACTTTAGAAAATGCCATGGGCAGTCTTATGACAATACTGCCAACATGGCTGGCAAGTACAATGGTATGCAGCCAAAAATCATTAAAAAAACCAATTTGCAAAATTTATTCCATGCGCAGGTCACTCTTTAAATCTGGTGGGCCGTTCAGCTGTGGATTGCTGCCTTGATGCAGTGAACTGTTTTGGCATGATCAATGAAATTTATACCTTCTTTTCATCCTCCAAAAAGAGATGGGCAGTTCTAAAATCATTTTTGCCACCTAAGTTTAAAGTGCCTAAATATTTGTCAGACACTAGGTGGGACACACATGCAAAAGCCACAGAAGCTGTTTTGGAAAGTTACAGTGCTATCACCGATGCCCTCAGTCATTTGTACTGATGTTAAGGGGAAGGGGGAGACCAGGCTCCAAGCTAACAATCTTTTGCAGAAAATGGAAGAACTGGAATTTGTGTTTATGCTGCATTTTTGGACCCGTGAGCTAGGTCATTTTCACAAGGTCAGCAAAGCCCTTCAGAAATCAGACCTGTTACTGAGTTCTTGTGCAAGTTTGTACAGTTCACTCCTGGATTTTTTAAGGAAAGTTAGAGATGATTTTGATGAGCTTGAGAAACAAGCAAAAGCCAACTTGCCAAATGTCAACTGCAAAATAAGAAAACAAAGAGTGAGGGAAAGGCAGAGAAATGACAGAAGTGCACCTGACGCCTTAGATGCACTATCTACCAAGAGATACGGTAAATTTAGAATAAAATCCTTTATTCCTATATTAGATGCACTTGAAGCCAATTTAAAAAGAAGAAGTACTGTGTACAGTGATGTTGCACAATTGTTTGCCATTCTTGCTACTTTGACAGCATCTAAGCAATAAATTAAGCAAGGTGTTGAACTGTTGATGGAAGCATACCCAGAAGATATTGACCTGAAACTTATTGATGAACTTTTGGACTTTCACCTGTATGTGACACAAAGCCATAGGCTTACAGCAGAGCACTCTCTGTCTCATACAGACCTTTATCAAATTATACACAAGGAAAAAATTCAGATGGCCTTTCCTAATGTGGAAGCAATCTTGTGGCTATTTCTTAGCCTTATGGTCATTAACTCAGGAGAGAGGAGTTTTTCAAGACTCAAAAGAATTAAAAATGAATTAAGGGCCACAATGTCTCAAGTGAGGTTGTCCGCACTGAGCATTCTGTACACTGAAAGTGACAAACTTAGACAAACAAATTTTGATGAAGTTTTGGATGATTTTGCTATGTGAGGAAGGCTAGGAAAAAAACATTTTAGCCTTACTGTATTTGATGGCTGTAGTTTACTTCCATTTTAAAACTGACTTTTTAATGGCAGCATAAAGTAGATTCTAAAAGTGCCACACTGTCAGGTAATCATGATCATATTATTTACACTTCCCAGCCAATATAGTTTGTAAACTCAAGGTGTTTTTTTAAGGATAACATTACAACTTCGTTTTCCTAAAAATGAGGGTGGGGGGAGGGCCGCTCTTCATCTAAATCCGGCCCTGCACAGCCCCCCCCCCCCCGCCCAGGGCTGCCCTCAGGTGATGGTGGGATCCGCACAAGCAGCAGATCCCGAGGGAGATTTGTATTCCCCACCCCCCCGGCCCCGCCTCGTGACGGACGGAGATCTCCCCACACACCCCCTTCTCCCACAGCGGGGAGGGCCGCCCCCGCTGGGCGCTTCCCTCCGGCGCCGGCTGCGCTCTGCCTAGGAGACCCCCCCTTCCTGCCCCCTCAGAGCATCCGCGCCTTTGACGTCCCTCCAGCGAGTTAGGCAAGGAAGACCCCCACGAAGGGCCGCTTCTCACCCAACCTCCCTTCGGGGCCTCGGCGGGAGCAGCCTGCTCAATGCTCCCTTCGCCTCCGGCGCCCCCTTCCGCCGCGGGGGCGGAGCCCAACTGGCGCGCGAGGCGCGCGTTCGAAAGCAGCGGCAGACGGCCGAGAAGCGAGTGCGCACGCGCGGTGGGGGCGGGAGAGGCGCGGGAGAGGCGGCGCGCGCCTTGGGCGGAGAGCGCCATTTCCCTGGCGAGGCCGGCGGGTGAGGCGCCTCTTCCAAGGCCTTGGGAGGGAGACCCTGTAAAGAGGTGCAAGGGCGCTAAAAGGGCCGCGTAGAATTTCTGTACAGTGGTACCTCAGGTTACAGACGCCTCAGGTTACAGACTCAGAAATATTACCTCAGGTTAAGAACTTTACCTCATGATGAGAACAGAAATCGTGCTCCGGCGGCGCAGCGGCAGCGGGAGGCCCCATTAGCTGAAGTGGTACCTCAGGTTAAGAACAGTTTCAGGTTAAGAACGGACCTCTTGATCAGGCTGTTAGGAGTTGTAGTTCAGCAACACACCTGTAATAATTAGTCTTGAATAGAAAAAGAAATTGTGTGCCTCAAACTGGGTTCTCCCTCTGTTCATTCTCAGTTTTTAAAAAGTTAGTAGATGAACATACATGTTTGGTTTTTTTGTCTGTTCTTTTCTTGCTGTTCCTGATCGTCCCAGCTGTGCTAGGAATAGAATAATACTCCGAATTCAGACTGAGAAGAAAACGGAGACCAACAATGAGTCACAAGGTATATTTTAAACAGTTTTAAAGAATATTGGTGATTATTCTGCCAGGGCAGAGCAGGACTTTGGCAGCTTAGTTCCTCTTTGATCAAATTTTCCAGCTTTCTCTAAAGTGTATGTTGAGTTTACATAACTGAGGTAACTTAAAAATCTTTGGTACTAGCATCTTGGTTTTGATGATCATTAAAAATGTGCACATTCCAATGCCACTTATATTTAGATGTCCAGACTTTCCACAGTGCTAGTGGTATTGGGCTTAATGAGTTGAGGAACTTGAGCACAGTGTGTGACGACTCACACATTCTCCAGTAGGATGTTACCGTAGATTCCCGCATATTAGACGACTTTTGAACCCCGGAAAATCTTCTCCAAAGTCGGGGGTCGTCTTATATGCTGGGTATGGTTGTGGCAGGTGGCGGCGACGGCTGGCTTGGAACAGCGATGGGCAGAAGGATGGTAAGAGCCGCCTCCCGAAGCAGCAGCAACTGCGGCAGCCTCCCCTTCCCGCGGTGAGGTGGTGCGTGGCTTCAGCCGGGGCTCGCCCGCCCTGCCACCATGGGGACCACCGGATTCCCAGGGGGAGGGAGGGACTTCCACGCACCAAACACCTCGCCTCGGGTGCTGCTGCTGCAACGGCAGAGGCAGCGGAGGGGTGCACGCTCTCCCCCTGGCGGCGCTTGGCACCCTTGCACACTGGGGACAGGAAACAGCTGTGCAAGGAGGCCATCTCAATATGGGATAGATCCTGGGGGTGGGAATAGGTCTGCCTGCCTTTCTTTCCACACCTATTTATGGAATCCTGATTTTGTGTATATGTCCATCTGCCTGCGGAAGCAAAATGCAACGGTGCTGAATCCCCGCAGCCTAAAGGCAGGAGTTGTTTGTTGCCCATTCCTGGGCATTCCCTAACTTTGTGCCTTCTCTCTTCTCTCCCGCCTCTCCCCCATGCTGGCATGATCATGGCTGCCAGCTCCTGGCCCCTGCGCTGTGCCCACAGTCTTCCTCTTCCATCTCTGCCCACCTCCCGCTCGTCCTTACGCTTCGCTGGCCTCCAGAGCTCTGCCACCCCCTCCTCCCCGCCCTGGGCAGCACCAGCCCAGCCCTGTTGTTCTCTCACTGAGCGCTTGGCAGGCAGCCAAACTCTATAATTTAACAGCAAAAGTTGGGGGGTCGTCTTATACGCCCAGTCGCCTAATACGCCAGCATCTACGGTACCTTCTTTGCTGAGGCCTAAGATTTACCTTTAAGGTTGCTAGAAAACCTATACTTTACATAAGCATCCCACTTGCTGTCCCCACCCCGAAAAATTGCAGAACACAGAAGAGTTGCACTTTTCTGTACTCCTTGTTCATATGGCTTAATTGTTAAACCATGTGGGTGAGAAGTGTCTGTTCATGAAAGTAGTATGAAAGTGAGGTTTTCCGCACTAACCAAATTTGCAACCCAATCTTGGTAAGTGTACTGCAGACATTGGCTGTGCATTCAGTGTAAACACCCACCCCATTTAAACTGTCTTTTGTAATAGTTGATCATATTATTGCATGACAAGTAAGACTTGCTACCAGGCAGGGAAGCTTTACAAAAGCTGCAGTTTAGGGGGGGTTTTGTTTTTGTTTCAAACACGTTTAGCTCCTAGGAAGTGGGTCTTCTGTGTCTTCCATTGCTACAGCCCTAAACCGTCATGTCCCCATTGCAAACCCCACTGAATTGAAAAACAGATGGTGGTGTGATGGGGAGAAACAAGGTGAAATCTGGTGTGTACACAAGCCCTCATATACACAAATAAACACAGCCTTCCCAGTAGTTGCACCTGCCCTGTGCAATGCCCTCCCATCAGATGTTAAGGAAATAAACCACTATCTGACTTTTAGAAGACATCTGAAGCCAGCCCTGAATAGGGAAATTTTTTAACGTTTTAATTAATTTTTAATATCTTACTGTGTTGTAATTCTTTGGAAGCTGCTCAGAGTGCCTGGAGTAGCCCAGCCAGGTGGGCAGCATTTAAATTATTATTATTATTATTTTACTTTAAAAAAAAAAAATTATTAAGGATTTTCTTGTTTTACAGAAGTGTAGTGCCTCGGATTTTTTTCCCCATGTAACATTTTTACAAATCCGTTTCATTTGTTGAGGCATTAGGGGGAGAAGAAAAAAAAAGAAAAAAGAAAATGGGGGGGTGGAGAGAGGGAAGATGGATGGGGGTGGGGTCGGGTGGCGGTGTTTCTATTATGTTTAATGTATGTAGAGTTTGGTGTCAGCGTTGCTTGTGTTGTTCACTTGTGTTCCTTTGGTGGTGAGAGAGGTTGAAATTATTATTATTATTAGACAGGAAATTGAAAAATCCCGTCATTTTAGGGAAGACTGGTGGCCTGTAATGCCAGCTTTGGCAAAAGTATTTAAAATAATTGCCTCAAAAATAGCGGCTTTTGTGCAAAGTGAAGAAAAACAAGTAAGCCCATTAGGAAGGAAATACTAATTATTTTTGTTATTTGTAGGGAAGACGGGGTTCATTATTGGTTTTCTGTATTACCCATTATGAAAACTCAATAAAGCAATAAGGTGTATGTATTTTTTTTTAAGTTTCCTCTGTTTTTTTGTAGCATTAGCCAGGTGCTTTTGTGTCTCTGATGGGAATGTGCTATAAAAGTGTGTATGCAGGTAGATTATACGTTTGCTTTTTGGTACAGTCATTCATGAGCTTTTAGAATCAAGAGGGGAAATTGAGGGGGAATAACTGCTCAATATATATGAGACTAGTTTATGTACATCTAATCTCTGTATGACTGAGTTCGCTTTTAACCGAATTGGTTTTTGTTACCTTCTGGTTTCTGGTCTTTAGGGCAGATATTATATCTCAGAGACTCAGCAGCATAGTTACCATAGCTTCTCTAATCTGGAGATGGAAGACAACTATGGCAAGTACCAATTTTTTCTTTCTTATTTTTGTGCTGATAACCATTCCGCAGTTTTGACTCTGTGTGGTAGACTGTTTCAAATATTCAGCTGTGAAGCTCACTAGAGGAGAAAATGAGGCAATAAAACATTGTGATCCATACAAAACTCTGCCGTTGGATAAATGATTTATACTTAAGCACAGCATACATTTACTTAGCAATATACAATATGTTATGAGCGTGTTTTATTACTAGATTTGGTAGTTAGTTATTTCTCAGTGCAGCAGGGGAGATTCAGCACTGGGTGCCACGGGGGCTGGAGGGGAGCACTTCGACCACCGGTGAGATTTAGTTCATAGAGCATATTGCTGGTAATAATGATATAGAAGGAAAGGAAAGCAGTTTACACCTGATGACTAACAGACCAACTCCAGACCTACTAAGAGGCTTCTCCACCCCTTCTGGTTTTGACAAATGTAAGACTATTGCCAAACTCCATGTGGGTTTCTTTCATAACTGTGAAGACCAGAAATAGGATTTTCATGTTTTCTGAAGTAAAAGCACAGAGGAACCTGCAAAATCTGTAATATGATGCTCTGTAGCAAAGTCTTAATACAAAGGCACTCAAACCAAGACCCACTTGTCTTATGAGACCATTGGGGAAAATGTAGCCATACCTCTTCAATTTCCTTGAAGAATTCTTTTAATTGGACTGCCTAATTGAGTAGCTTCAGGGATTCAGTTCCTTGGAACTTGCGCTTTATTTCATAAATGTGCTCATTAACGTCTGCAGCAGTCTTGCACCACTGACTACATTTTCTTTGTTTAGTACCCTAATCACCTAAATCTTACAAGTGGGTGTATTTAGCCACTAAACCTGAAGTAATTCTGCGGTTATGGAATACTGAGAACCAATAGCTTTCCTCAATTATCTGATTAATTTCAATATATTAGTGTGTACCCACTTTTTAACTGTGATACATCTTTTAGACCACAAAGCATGCTTCCATCTTTGTTTTTTTTCTAGTTGATCCTTCAGATCCTGATAAACTAATGCAGTGTCCATATGACAAGAATCATAAAATCAGGGCATGTAGGTTCCCCTACCACCTTGTCAAGTGTCGTAAGGTAGGAAATGTAGATTGTATTATTGACTGTGTGGAGCCTGTATCTTGTGGCTTTATAGTTGACTTAAGAACATAAGAGCTTGCTGAATCAGGCCAATAGCCAATCTAGCTGGAGGGTGTCTGGGAGGGACACAGCTGCTCTGGCAACAAACCCCACACTGCTTTTTCAGGCAGTACTGGGCCTGCGCATGCCAGCCGCGTTCCTCTCAGATGCCCTCGGGACACAGTTGCTCTGGCGTGCACCCCGCCCCACAGTGTGCCCCGCACCCTAGCGCGCACACGCACACACACCCCAGGTGCCAGCAGGGCTTGCTACACCCCTGGAAAGAGGCAGCCCACCCCACTTGCTCAGATGAAGGCAGACGTGCAGGCAAGCAGAAGAAAGAGCACTTTCTCAGGCTCCCTCTGCCAGGGCCAGGGCTGGGCTGTGGAGGGAGTGGGCAGGAGCTCCTTCGCCCGAGCAAGTGGGCAGCCACCTTCCCTTCTTCCTGGTCCCTCCCTCCCTCCCTCCACAGCTCAGCCACCTTTTCAACCTTTTTCAGGGTTATTTCAGACATCATGATGCATCACTGTAGAGTGGTACATCAGGTTAAGTACTTAATTCATTCTGGAGGTCCGTTCTTAACCTGAAACTGTTCTTAACCTGAAGCACCACTTTAGCTAATGGGGCCTCCTGCTGCTGCCGTGCCGCCGGAGCACGATTTCTGTTCTCATCCTGAAGCATAGTTCTTAACCTGAAGCACTATTTCTGCGTTAGCAGAGTCTGTAACCTGAAGTGTATGTAACCTAAAGCGTATGTAACCTGAGGTACCACTGTATTTCAATGGTTAGCTGGTGATACGCCATATTTACTCAAATCTACTTCTCACCTTTTTTGGCCAAATTACATTGCAAAAATTAAGGTGTGCATTAGATTCAATGGCACATTAGACTCAAGTAAATATGGTTTTACAACATTGGAAAACCAGATATCATCCAGCCCTACTTGGGGCACTTCTACTTTCCACATTCCTCTTTTGGAAGAAATGTCCATTTAATCCTCCTCTCTGCTTCCTGTTATCTAACCAGTTTCTGATTGAGCTAAGCGGACTCATGAGTCTTTGAAAGCTTTGTTGAAAAGCTTTTTGGAAGTCCAAGTATACTGTGTCAGCTGGATCACCTCTGTCTATACGCTTGTTGATGCTTGGGATGTGTCAGTGCTGTTACTCTTTGCAGTTTGTGTGAGATGAATTTTATCAACTAAAGGACATTTTAAAAAAAGACAGTGTGGAGATAAACTGAAACCACCCTCCAATTAAGTGCACACCAGCCATCTGACCTGATGCTCATTTTTTCAATTTATCTCTACATAATGGGTAGAGAAATGTTAGCCCTACAATACTTGGTACTAGGATATAAAAACCTTCCAATTGCAAGGTGGACTCTCCATCCTTGGAGGATTTTAAGCAGAGGTTGTATGGCCAACTGTCATAAATGCTTTAATCAAGATTCCTGCATTGCAGGGGTTTTGGACTAGATGATCTTCAGGGTCTGTTCCAACTATACAGTTCTGTGATTCTGTGAAGGACGTTTTGGTCAGGCCCAGTGGAAAGGTAGATATTTCTCAGACATAAAGGCCTGGTTTGTGCATAATACAAAGCAGTGTTTTCTTTGAATGTCCAAATCCAGCCCAGCAATCTAATCATGAGAGTGCTTGCATATCTAAGCAACTCTTCCTGACTCTTTTTCTGAAAAAGCCCTTGTTTCTAATTTTGCCTGAAAGCAGGCTCTTCTCCCACCCCATTCCTCCAGGGGAAGCCCTTGCTTACAAGCTAGACAAAGCCACCTGCTTTGTGAAGAGAAAAACTGCAATGGACCATGCTGCTGTCTTTAAGTAACATATACAATGGTACCTCGGGTTACATACGCTTTGGGTTACATACGCTTCAGGTTACAGACTCCACTAACCCAGAAATAGTGCTTCAGGTTAAGAACTTCGCTTCAGGATAAGAACAGAAATTGGGCTCCGGCGGCGCGGTGGCAGCAGGAGGCCCCATTAGCTAAAGTGGTGCTTGAGGTTGTTAACAGTTTCAGGTTAAGTACAGACCGGTATGAATTAAGTACTTAACCTGAGGTACCACTGTATGCTGTTAGTTAAGGCATTGGTGAACTGATACCCAGCTAGCCTGATTGTTTAATCTCTTTACAATAAAATAATTAACACTTCGTGGAAACAAAAACACCACTGACCTTTCACAGCATGCATACACAAATCAAGACTTCGAGGTGCTGGGACAGAACTCCTGTTTTCCTAGTCGATTTGCATGTTTGTGAGCCTGTTGGTGTGTTGTGTACTTGTTCTACAGCTAATAACTTTTGCCATGCACATAATCAGGGTTGTCTGAAATATACGTACTATATATAGTTTGATAGTTCTGTATTGCATAGCTTTAAAATAAGATAGCCATGTCTTTGTTTTCTAGAACCATCCTGATAAAGTGCAGCAACTGGTCACATGCCCATTTAATGCCCGTCATCAGGTCCCCAGAGAAGAGATCAGTCAACACATATCAAGCTGTGATGACAAAAGGTGCATTGAGCAAGACATTGGTAAGAAATTTTTCAGTATGAATTAATGGCTGGCAGCTGCCTCTTACCTTGACTTTTAACATTTCAAAGGGATTGCTCTCAGTCTACTATAATTCCTTTTTGAATCTATAACACATGTTTGTGGTGCCTGTTTGATTGTGATTTGAAGTAGTATGGGTCGAAGAATATTTTTTTCTTCCTGAGTGTGCAAGTTTTTCCAGCACTTGGCTTCATCAGGCTAGTGACTTTTATTGTTGAATATTGTATCAAAAATTACTCACATTAAGATGAAACCTACTTGGCATTTGAGTTAATACAAGACAAGAAGGGCCAGGGTCATAAAAATTGTGGGTAACTCACGCCTCCTGCTCACTAGATGTTTGAGGTCTCTTCTCCAGCAGGTAAGTTTGGCTATGCAAAGATGGACAAGATATAGAATAACCAATACAGCTTGGACAGGTTTAAACACAAAGATGGGTTCAAACCCCTAATCACAGCCATGAAGAAAACTTGTCCTTACAGGGCCAGCACAGGCATAATTCTGGCCGACCTCTTGTTAGACTCCTGCCGCCCACCACAGCTTTGGTGCTCAGTTTACAAAAATGTTACCTGTGCTTGGTCATTAAAGAATTGGGCAGATTAAGATGAGGGCGTTAGGAAATTACCAGTAGGTCCATTTTTCTGTCACACCCGTAGCCAAGGAAGGGCTGTGCTGTTCTAGAAAAGGCAGGCTTGGTGCCCAGCGCTGCGTTAAGCACTTCATACAATGCTTTTTCTCACAAATAAACTTCTTTCATTTAGCAATCCATGGGGATAGCCGCAGAAGAGAGGTTAGTGTGGTAAGCTCCTGGCAATCTCCTCCATGCGAAGAAGACTGGGACAGAGGTGAGACTCTGTGTTTCTGATACTTTGCTAGAATATCTGCAAGACCAAGGGCCTGTCCCCTCCTGAAACTGTAATGATCTTAGTAAGAAGGAATGCTTTTTTCAAACACCTGTTCTGCCCGAGCCATTATTTTCCATCACCTGTGCTGGGAAGAAAATGATATGTTGTACAACTTGAGGTAAATTACTTTATTAAATGGCTGTGTTTGCTCAGGCAGCACTGCATCAGTTGTATTCTCCTTAGTAAAGTCTGGTGTTTATTCCATGCTTCTCATATGTGGCTTCAGTAATATTTTTGTTTTGCTTGACAGACGTAGCAGGCCAATCGAACTCTGTCTTCATTTGGGGCACAAGCCACCATGGTGAGGCAAGCAGGTAAAGTTGGGTTATCCGACACTGCGAAGATGAAGGTCATCTTCATCTTTTCCTTCCTTTGCACTTGTTTGTTGTGGACAGAGAAGTAATTCTTTTTTAAAAATTATTTGGGGAGTTATGAACAATGCAAGCTTTTGCTTACACTTGTGGGAGATATGCCTCCTTCAGATCTTTGCATAGGTCTAACACATGAGGGAGAGTTTTGATGAGTGTTGTGTCTCTTTTTCTATATTGAGAATGGCAGTGTGCAGTACAACCTAACAGTAAGTTGCACTCCTCTTGCTCTGTGCTGGATGGCTTCTCTCCTTTTTTGGAGGCACAAATGATAGTGATTTCTTTCACCACTCAGGAAGGACAAGCTTGTCTTTCCTCCATTGTGTGGGTTGGCAGAATGACAGCTCTCATGATACTGAGGCTTGTTTCGTGTAAGCTTTTATTGCTGTCTGCCCCTGCCCCCCAAACACTCACACACAGTTCAAACTTCCCCAACCTGGGTCAGATGGGAGTTGTAGTCCAAAGTTTCTGCGGGGTGCCAGGAATACTGGATTGGGGAATACTGGATTACAGTGGTACCTCTGGTTACGTACTTAATTCGTTCCAGAGGTCCGTTCTTAACCTGAAACTGTTCTTAACCTGAAGCACCACTTTAGCTAATGGGGCCTCGCGCCGCCGCCGCACTATTTCTGTTCTCATCCTGAAGCAAAGTTCTTAACCCGAGGTACTATTTCTCGGTTAGTGGAGTCTGTAACCTGAAGCGTATGTAACCTGAAGCATTTGTAACCCGAAGCACCACTGTATAGCTAACTGGATTACTGTGGAAGCTTCTGGACGTCCTGCACACTCACAAGCAGCAAATCCTCACCCTCCAATCCAATTAGTGTTACAATAGCTGCCTTCCAATCACACAGTTGGTGCTCAGAGGGCAATGCAGTAGTCCAAGCGGGAGGGCATTGGAACATGGACTGCTGAGGCCATGCTATATTCACCCAGGAACAGCCACAGCTAGTGAACTAATCTAAGCTTGGACATAAGCACTCCTAGCCAAAGCAGCTACTTGAGACAGATTGGAATCCAGGGTGGGATTCAGCTAACAAGCCCCACTAGGGATGATCTGCCCCCCTCTACAGCTTTGAGCTGGGGACTGGTCCTTGTTTTTGGTGCTCCACTCCAATCACCACAGAAACACAGCACAATTGCTGGAACAACACCCCTAATTTGGACCCATGAGAGTATAGTCTCTGAGACAAGACTCTGCACCTTTTGAGAGAGCAGTCCTAACAACAACCAGAAGTCTTGGTTGATAACCACTGTCAGACAATTTTTTGATCCCTGGGAAAACTTTCTACTGTTTCCTAGCAATGAGCCTTGGGGGATGCTCCTCCTTGGCATGAGAACTGCATTATGTTGTAGATCCAGTACCTTATAGGGGCATTACTCTCCATCTTCTGAGTCTGACAGTCCCTAGTCATAACGGACTGTGGTAGGTAGGCGGTTCCATGCATCTCCTTCTCCCTAGCATTGTTTCAGTTGCAGTGCTAAAAGACCTACTGCCAGGCAGCTGTATAAAAAAAAACCCTGGCAACATGTTTAGTTTGTCATGACCCATCACAAATAATCCTTTTAGCAACTGGGAATCTGTAGACTATTAGTGCTCAGAGTTGGAAATAATATTGTCACCTGCAAAGTATAATCACAATTTAAAGGTGGAAAACCAGGAGTAATGTCTGGTCTGTCTCAGCCTTATAAATTGGCTGCTTCCATTGTATTAACTATGGATAAGCAGCAAGTAGTTTTTATCTTTGTCCCTTTTAAGCACATAACAAACACTCAGCATGAATGTGTTTCAAGACTAACTAACAAGTTGCTTTTCACTGTTTTAAACCTTGTTATTTCAGTGACCAGAGCTTTTACTTTGTTTACTGCACATTATCTTAGCCTGAAGAGTGAAAAGAGCATTTATAATCTGCCCTTCACCACCCAAAGGCCCCAGGGCAAAAAATGCATACACTTTAAATTAACATGAAGCTAAAACGAAATGCAGCAACAATATAATTAACACAAAAAATCACAGAACAATAAAACTACAAAGCAGCAGTTAAATCAAAGCACTCTCAGTGCACCTCATCCCTGTCTAGTCCAAAGTGATCTGTGCTTCTTCACCTGACTGTAAAATGTGTTGGGGTGAGATGGACCTCAGAGGGGAGGTCATTCCAGAGAAGTGGAGCTGCCACAGAGAAAGCTCTCCCATGGGCCCCCACACCACGAACCTCATTGGGCATGGAGAAACCAAAAAGGTTGATGTGAAAGGAGGCATTCTTTCAGATGTCTGGAATTAAATCTTTCAGAGCCTTCATTCTCATCATAGGCACCTTAAATCAGGCCCAGAGGACAGTTGGCACCCAAAGAAGTTGCTTCAAATAGGTATCATATGCAGACCATCAGCCACACCCATTAACACCCTGTCTGCTGCATTTTGCACCACTTGCAACCTCAAGACTGTTTTCAAGGCCAGTGCCATGTAGAGTGAAATGTGGTAGTCCAGCCTGGAATTTCTCAGGGCATGGATAACTAGCTGAGCTATAGCTGTTCAAGGAAGGCCTTAGCTGGCAAACCAACCAAAGCTCAAGCTGCCTAAGCTTCCAGTGACATAGGTGGCTTCAGGACAAGTCCCAAGCTACAAATCTGTTGTTTCAAGGGAAGTGCAATGCTGTCTAGAGCAGGACATCTCCCCAAATCATGGACCAAGGAACTCCCCGTCCACAGTGCCTTCCATTTTTTAGTCTGAGTTTCTTAGCCTGCACCCAGCCCATCATATTTATCATAATTATTTTTTACTTCTTCCTTTCCCTTCACCAGGACGGCTTAAATGAATAAAAAAATAAAAAGTTAAAAAACAGATTACAAGTATATATTTCAGGTGTCAAAGACCAGGGTTTTATTTACAGGTAGGTAGCCATGTTGGTCTGCCATTGTCAAAACAAAATAAAAAAATTCCCTCCAGTAGCACCTTAGAGACCAACTAAGTTTGTTATTGGTATGAGCTGTGCATGCACATGAAAGCTCATACCAATAACAAACTTAGTTCTCCAAGGTGCTACTGGAAGTAATTTTTTTTACAGGGTTTTATTTGTTACCCTTCTGTTTAACACTATTGAGATATCGGAGAGCTGTTGCAGTGAAATTATTAGGTGTGATCTATTATCTGGAAGCTCCCAATGGACTTCTCTGCTATGTATTTATTGAGTGACCTTCAACAAGCCACTCTCTCAGCCTCTCAGTACCTACGGGACCGCCTCTCCTGGTATGTCCCACAGAGAAACTTACGGTCTTCAAATAAAAACATCTTGAAGGTCCCAGGCCACAGAGAGGTTAGGCTGGCCTCAACTAAAGCCAGGGCTTTTTCGGCTGTGGCTCCGATCTGGCGGAACACTCTGTCACAAGAGACTAGGGCCCTGCGGGACTTGACATCTTTCCGCAGGGCCTGCAAGACAGAGCTGTTCCACCAGGCCTTTGGCCAGGGCACAGCCTGACTCCCTCCCTCGGCAATCTTCGCGGAGCTCTGGCCCAATGGTTGCCAGTGGCTTGATTTGAATTAATTTTATAATGAATGATTTTAGAGTGTTGTTTGTGCTGTACTTTTGTACTGTTTTATTGTTGTTAGCCGCCCTGAGCCCAGCTTCGGCTGGGGAGGGCGGGATATAAATAAAATTTATTAATTTATTATTATTATTAATTCTCCATCTCTAATATGGGAATGATACTGCCCAAAGGGTTACTGTATGTGTGTAGTAGATGGCACTGGCAAATCTGGTTTTTTTCAAATACATATTTTAGAGTAGGTGCTGCAGGAGTGGCCTGTATGCTAGAATTCATGGTAGTGCTTGTGGTTTGGTTTGGTTTGCTTTGCTTTGCTTCTTAATGGATTATGTTTCTTAATTACTTCACATGTGTGAAATAAAAAGGAACACATTCATTTTTCATTCCTTCCCCTCCCCTGCCCCACAGTTCTGGATCAAGCCCAGCCGTGGGACTTAAGAACCAGCTAGCTTCAGGACTACGAGCTCCAAGGTCCCTGCCACATGTACTACCATGGAAGAACAGTAAGTGATGCTGGAAATGTATCCATAGTCTACATTGGACCATGAGGTCCCCTGCCACTTTAGTGTGGCCCCTTGACTCTTGCTAGGTGGGTGGAGCCAGAGCAATAGATGCTTGTCTGCATGGAAGCATGAGGCATCATCACAGCTCAGTATCACGTTCCAGCCTGGCAAAATCACTCCAGGTGCAAAGCAGGGTCAATGAAGGGAAGAATTCTGAGGGCCAGAGTGGTCTGGAGGGTTACATTTTAGTCTGAGGTTTCCCACCCTGGCTTAGTGTTAAATCTAAAATCAGGCTTATCTCCCCCAGTCAAGCAGCAAGTGATAAGTCATAGAAGAAACAGAACGCAGGCTTGTGAGTTTTGGGTAAGACAAACCATGAGGCCAGGTTCACACATAGCTAAAACAGCACCATGGCTTGGCCCTTGTTAGTTCAGCTGCATTTTGCCCATTGATTGTATATATGAATGGGAATGTTGAATGAAGAGTTTTAGTTTTGGTAGTCTAACTGGACGAGAGAGGGCACTGTTTGCCTCTGCCTCCTGACAAGCAGCTGCCTTGAAATACAAGTTTAGGAGTGCTTTGGAAGAAGCCTGTCTGGGAGCATAAATAGTATCTGGTATTTAAGTGAGCCCAAAACAGTTGTGGGGGTTTTCAGTATCCCCTCCTGCTAAATTCAGTGGCAGCTTTGTGGTGAACAGCTGCATTAGGTTTACAAAGTCTCCTCCTCTTCAGATCTCATGTGCAGTAACAACCAGGAATGTGTTTGCATGGAATTATTTTTGTCCCCCTTCCCGGGTGAAGTGGCTGAGCAGCTCAGCATTCCTCTCCCCCACTCCTTGTCCTATCCCTGTGGTGACAAAATTGTGGATAAAAGGAGAAGTGTGAAGGTCTTTCCATTCTTCTGTTTCCGGACTTCAGCTTCTTCCCATGGAATACTGTATTTTTCGCTCTATAAGACCCACCAGACCATAAGACGCACCTAGTTTTTGGAGGAGGAAAACAAGAAAAAAAATATTCTGAATCCCAGAAGCCAGAACAGCAAGAGGGATCTGGCTTCTGGGATAGCCTCTCGCTGTTCTGGCTTCTGGGATAGCCGCGCAGCCCGCATTCGCTCCATAAGACTCACACACTTCCCCCTTACTTTTTAGTAGGAGAAAAGTGTGTCTTATAGAGCAAAAAATATGGTATGTGTGAATGTACTATTTTTCATGCAAGACTAATAAATATGGTGGCAGCTCCTATGCTAACAGCTGCAGTAACTAAATTGGTGGCAACATGCTGTAGCTTTCTGCAGTGACTAGTGAGCTTTCCCCAGCTGTGCCCTCTCTGTGCTGAGAGTAGAGGTGAGAGTAGAGGCAGTGCTCCGTAAATGACAGAAAAAACAAAGAAATTAATTCTCGTGTGTGTGTACATGTGTGTACATCTATCTATAATAATTCCTTATGCAAGACTTCCTGCTTTGAAAAAATGGCTATCACTTAATATGGATACATTGTCCTTTACACCCTTTAATTATCATGCAACCTAGCCTTCCCCGACATGGTTGCCTTCAGCTGAAATAAAGAAAAAATGCTTAGTTCCTCCTCCCTTCCCTGGCCCCATTTTGCCAGGTGTTGGCAGCTCCCCTGGTGCTAATTACCATTAGGGTCCAGAGTGTTGAACTACCCAAGAGAATCTGCAGTACTGCACTTGAAACCCAGTCTTGCTAATGTCAAAAGCTATTGGCCCTAAGAAATTTTACTTTCCTGCTGTTTGCTCATGGGAGGCTGATAGAGGATGGACAGAGCACTCCCATCTATCCAGCTTACATAAGTAATAAAACAGGCTGGCGAAAATAAACAAATTGCAGGCTGGAAATGCTGCCAGCTGGCAAATATGAATAAGCTACTACTTTTTAAGTTGCTCAGCAACATTCATGTTAAAAATACCTCTGGGGGTACATTCACTTTTTATAATAAAAAGTGTGGGAGTTAAGTACTCCTGCTCTACTTAATCTAAGCTTTTCCTTAAGGCTAAGGGGATAGGAAGGATCTGCAGCTGCCCAAAGGTTTTAGTTTGAAATTTAGGGGTGTGCCCTCTCTAAATTTGTCACTCTTTAGGTTATTGAGAGATGGAACTCCATGTTGCAGCTTCTGTAATGCTGCTCTGCCTTTTCCCTTCTACTCTGTTGGAGCAGCTAACATCAATGGAGCCTGGAAATATTTTTTATTTGCCCCAGGCCAATGACTAATTCTGAACACGCTTCATTCAAGGGACACATTCCTTTCCTTGTCCACCTGGAGGGGATTATGGCAATGAAGAGGTGGAAGAACATGAGTTCTGCTTTCTAATATGAAATTATCCCATCTTTCTTGACAATAGCTTTATAGGAAGAACTGGGAAATGCTATGAGCAAATATTTGAGGTATATGCAGGCGTGGCCAAAGAAAGGAGCAGCAGCCTGGCATAAATAGGAAGCAGTTTTCCTTGGACCACCTTCCTGAGGGTGAGAAGTGGCTTTTAAAACATAAAGAAAGACTAGAGGGAGACACCTCTGATTTGAAGCTGGGTAAAGGTGAAATCAGAGCAGGCCTGACCTACTTGTTGGTTCATAAGACCTCTTAAAACCTCTCCACATTTGTATAACTAGTTTCAAATTCTTCAAAGTGACCTTTAGCTTGTCTTGTGGTGTGTGCACACAAATCACCTTCTGCTCTGGTTGTGTGGAGCCAAGTTAAGTGAAAGGAAGTGAGAGGCATTAATGTAGTCTTAAGTTAATCAAGGAGATAACATAAGCAGCTGGGTTGAGTCATGGTGCAGTTGAAAGTACCGTAGAGTAGTTCTGCATTTTAAAATGCCCCATTAGGCACACTGTTTTTAGAACAGTAATTCAAACATCCCTTCTTTTTCTCCTTTTTTCCCTTTTTCAATTCATAAAATTTAATCATCTAGAAAAGAATTGTCTAGCAGGACTCGTGTTTGTAACACATTTTGTCCACATTCTTTAGGAAAGCAAAACTCAGTACTGTAGAGTATAGTATATAAAATTTTAAACCTCTAAGCTATTGTCAACTTTTGGCTGTCACTAATTCTGCATTTTCTTGAAGGATGGAAATAATAAAGATTTCCATGAGTTCAGAGGATTGTCAACTTGGTCCCAGATTCAGAGGATGGAAAATATCAATAACCTCTACTCTGCACTGATAAATCCCATTGGCCTGCTGATAATCTAAGCTTGTTGAATGATTGGCAGAGTTAAATCTCTTAAAATAGATGGCTTTGAAAGGAAGATACCTCAAACACAGTAGAAAATTCAGTAATCCAATATCAAACTTTCAGAATCCCAACTTTGTAAATATGGTCATTTAGGTAGTCTGAATACCTTGTTCAGGATAAATCATTGGTGCTCAGAGATAAGCAGTTAAATATATTGTGATGTGCTTGTTTTTGACCCAAGAAGATGAATTTGCCTCTGGATTTCACTCCTCACATGTTGTTTAGTACCTGTCTCAGTTTGATAGCCTTGCTACCATCATATGGCTCTTTTCTTGAATTACTCCAGAACTGCTACTGCAATTTCAGTTTAGCAAGAACTCAGAGAATGCATTCTTTGCCTGAAGTTAAATACAGGAATAGTGTGACAGAGCTCATTTTGTTCAAGTAAACAGCAAAACCCTTCCCCAGCTTCCCCAGCTCCTCATATGGCTGTAAGAAGGTATAAACTCTGTTTTCTTGTAATGCATATCAACAAAGAGTGGTACAGATTCTGTTTGCTTGCAATTTGAGTGTTTAACCTGTTGTGATATTTTTGCCCTCCCTTCATATCTCTGTGAGCAAGTAAACTATGAGAAGGATTGGCGGTGCTGTTTTGAGATAATGGCCTTTATGTTAGTGGGATCACAAAGCCATTTTGCCTGACACATTGTGCGTGGATTATCATGGCTTCTATTTTAGGGCCTAAAATTGCTTGCTTTTTATTTAATTGCAGATGCTGCAAATTGAGGACTGTGGCAGAAGCTGTCCCTTCCAATGACTTCTCAAGAATTTTGGCAAATACACAATTTGGCCACTGATAGTTCCTACAGTCAGGGTTACTTCAATAGAAGGGGCATGTTTAGTTGCTGAATAAAAATTAGAGGTTTATTTGGAGAATTTAAGCGTTCACCCCAAACAGTTGCGTTGTCAAGTTTAAGCCCCAAAATACTTCCCAGATACCTTTGTAGATTTTTTTCTGTTGGTGTGGTAATTCTAGATCCTGAGGAAATGGTTACTTTGATTTCTGTTGAATAGTTAAATTTATCCCTTTTTTCTGACTGCGTTTCTGCAAAAAGAAATTGGCTGTAAATAATTTAAAAGCAGCAATTATTAAAAGAATTCTATTTAATAATATGTTGTTGCCTCATTGATCTCTAATTCAAGAAAGACCGCTTACTCTGAAAACTGGTAAAGGCTAGTGGGGTCAGTGTTGCTATTAGGACATTTTAGAGTTTGGACTGCCCCCACTTTTATTTTAAAGTGTTAACGTATTGCTTCATTTAAATTCAGAATGTGGCAAGCAGGCCCTGCTGCATTGGGAAGACCCTCTTGTTCATCTGAGTTGGGCCCTGGGCAGACCTTTGCCCCAAAGTCCTGCTCTGACTGCCCCGCAGGGTGGTATCCTATAGCCCTCTTTCAAATGTTTCCAGGACTGGCACTTTGGGGAATTGGTGTTGTGGAGCCTTAGCAGAGAGAGGAGGGCTGCCAACCCACGGTGCCTCCTGACCCTCATGTTCTTCCTTGTTGTAAGTGCTTCTTCCCTCCCCTGAGTGAGCAGGCAGGGAGTCACAGAAGCGAGCAGCACTAATGGCCAGAGAAAATGGGCCAACCAGCGAGCAACAGTGGGAAGGTGGTAAGCCCACCGAGGGCATCTTGCCCAGGCACCCTCTGTTTGCTTGGTACCTAAATGGGTCGTCATTCAAGCTTCCAGCCCATTGTATCTTGACAGCCTGTAGTAGGTTTAGCTGTTTGTTTGGGAAAGGGAAATTGTGAGGTGGGGGAGGGACAAAAAGAGCAGGATGTGCCTCCGTACAGGGACAGTTCAGCAGCCCCCAATTATTGTTCAGCTACAAGTCAGACATAGAATGGCAACTCGGCTCCCAGGCCTCTTAACACTGTCGCTGTTGGGGAATGCTAAAAGTGAGAGGAGAGACAAACCGTAGAGAAGGAAGCTAGAGCAATCAATTCCAAGCAGGGTATTGTATCCCCTGCATCTGGGAAACTGCACAGCTATTCCAAGTTGTTGTTTTTAATTGATTTTATCAGCTTGGGCGGGGGGGACACCAAAGATGAACACGAAAAAAATGAGAGGTGTTTTCCTGTTGTTCCACGACTTTATAAATCACTTGGATGAAGGAGTTGAGATGCTCTTACTAGGTCCAAATCAAGAAAATTAACTACAAACCCCGAAATTTGGGATCCTTTCCAAACTGGTGCCAAAGCTTGGCAGATTTTTTGCAGCAAAAACGTTTGACACAGGTTTGGCGGTGTTACAAGAATTTAAGGTCTCATATAAATTAAATGTTCATAAATTTACAAGGCAAACACATAGATAAGTACCGTATTTTTCGCTCTATAGGATGCACTTTTTCCCCTTCAAAAATGAAGGGAAAATGTGTGTGCGTCCTATGGAGCGAAGATGCCATAGCCCCGCGACCCTCTCCCGGCTGGAGAGGTGACGCACGGCTATGGCAGGAGCCTCTCCGCTGCGCCTTTCCGCTGCTCCCTGACCTGCTCTTTGGGGCTGGTGGTGGGCTTCCCCCCGTCAGCCCCAAAGAGCAGGTCGAAAGGAACCTGAAGCCTGGAGAGCGAGAGGGGTCAGTGCACACCGACCCCTCTCGCTCTCCAGGCTTCCAAGGTAGCCGCCTGAACGCACCTTAAACGGCACCTTGTTTTAGAGCGGGAAAACAACAGGGGGAAAGTTCTCCCCCTCTCTGCACAGTGCCTCCTGCCACTTCGCTGAAGGGGCGCTGGGCAGAGAGGGGGAGAATTTTTTTTTTCTTGTTCTCCCCCCTCTAAAACAAAGTGCGTCCTATTGTCCGGTGCGTCCTATGGTGCGAAAAATACGGCATATAAACCACATATCTGTAATAGTGCAGGAGAGCAATCCTGAAACCCATTTTGACTCTCCCAAATGTTTCTCTGCAGGGAGGAAGGAAATGGGAAAGCCTATCCATTGTCTTGTGCTTACCTGTCTTTAGGGCATCTTTGTGTATGAATAGGGTGAGCCTGTGACCTGGATTCAGGAACTAAGCATTTAGCATCTCAAAAGGAATGGCCAGGCTGCCCAGGTAAAGCAATCAAGTGACCATTATCAGTATCCTGCCAGACAGGATTTCTGTTGTAGACCACCTCCTTTGATGTATTTCTGCTGTAGCCTGCCTCCTTCTGTGATGTATGTATGATGTTTTGGGGGTGGTCTTGAGCTACAGGGTGGGCAATTTCAAAAGTCTATATAAGGGCTTGCATACCGTTGTTCTGGGTTCCTCTTCCTTCCTGCATGTGGTGAGTGGGGACCCTGTTGCCAGGGGTGGAGGAAGGGTCAGCCCTGGGTGTCATCACTGAGGGGGGTGACATTCAGTGCGCCACCCGCCTGCAACTCCCAATCCTACCCCGAGCTGTTCGGGGGAAGGGGCGGAGCTGCACCACCTTGCCGGCAGCCTTCCCCCTTTGTTTTGACAGCTCAGGGGAGGCTTGGGAGTCACGGGCGGGCAGTGCACCGTTGCCCCCCACTCACGGGCTGCTTCCGGGGGAGGAGCCTCCCTGAGCTGTCAAAAGGAAGAGGGAAGGGAGGAAGGCTGCTGGCAAAGCAGCACAGCTCCCTCCCCCCACCCTCCCAGGAAGCAGCCCGCCATGGGCGGCTTCTCAATATTCTGTGGTTGACCTCTGTTATTTTCTCCTTCTGATAGGGAACCCACTTAAGGACTCTGCACGGGCTCTTGGATACCCCATAAAGAGCCGGTTTTTTCTACATCAGAGGGGACCCCATATTTTGGGGTTCAGAGTTAATGTTAAGTACGGACCCCGTGTTTGATGTATCAGTTGCTCAGTTTGTTGGGTGCTGCAAAACGGGGGTCTCACTGCAAAATGTTACAAAACAACTGCAACAGTTTGGCACAGGTTTGGAGAGGATCCCAGATGTTGGGGTTTGTAGTTAATGGGCCCATCCAAATCTGTTGGTGTGTTAAACAGTTGCAAGATTTTGATCTAGTGCAGAGCTGCTCATCCAGCTGATGAAGAGCATGGTCTTTTTAAGTTGAATCTGTGGCTTTTCTTAGATAGACGTTGACCCGATCAAAGAGAGGTCAGCAATAGCTGTCTGTATTCACTTGGAATTCCTTTAGTGCTACCAGAGCAGCTATGTGGAGCACTCCAAAGTAATTAACACCCAAGTCCATGAACATGTCATACAGGGAGAGGCTTAGATGTCTGGAAAGACCACAGGCACTTCCAGAGACATTCTGTGTTTTGTCTTTAAGGCAGGTGGCACCTTTATACACAGACAGATATCACCAAATATCCTTGGTGGTTAGAATGTCCCCTGAAATCTTAACCTGCAAAGCAACCCTCCTTTGCTTGCTTAGTGCATTCAGGCCACATCTAGACCATACATTTAAAGTGCTTGGCTTCCCCTAAGGAATCTTGGAATGCTGTCTGGGAATGGAAAGTCCCTGTGAGGGATAGACTACAGTTTCCAGGATTCTCTGGGGGTGTGGCTGTTAAAGCGATAGAGCCAGTTAGTATTCATTGATGATATTAATGCAGCTTTTATGAATTCTTGGTTGATCTTATCCTTGCATGTTGCACTCTGCCTTGGTATATTTTTATGAAAGTGTGGCTTATAGATTCATAAATAAATACTGTGCTTTAAATGCATGGTGTAGATGTGACCTCAGTTTACCGCACTGCTCTTTGCCACAGTTTTGTAACTGCCAGTCCGGAGTTTGGTTGTGATTTCTGAGCTGTGAGACAAATCAGATTGCAAGAGCCTCCTTCAAAGCCTCTCTAAGAAATTCCACTTAGAAATGCTTGTAATTTGCCAGGCAAATTTCTGAGGGAGTTGGCCTGCTTTTTCAATGCAAAACCCTATCCTGTTTGCATAAAGTAGGATGTGCTAATCTTTTTGTTATCTTTAGCTCCGCTTTCATGGCCCCTACAATGTGATTGACTTTCTGTTGTGTTTACCTTGTACTAGATAAAAGTCACTTCAGGCAGCAGAAGGGGTTAGTTAGTTAAGGAGTTCATTGGGAAAGAAAGAAAAAACGTGTAAGTCTGGCTGCTTTTGTTCAAAGTATTATAGATTCTGACCATGCATGATTTCAGGCAGAGAAAGATAAGCCCCCCAGATACAATGTTGCTGGTGATTATTTTTGAACATAGAGTTACCTACAGTCCACATGTTTTGGTTGCCATTTCCCCCAACATTCCTCAGATGAAAATTTCTCACCCCCCCCCCCGTGACCGTCCTTGATCCCCCATTTTTTGCCATCCCCCTGCAGAGCATTTCCTACCCCTTGCCTGCTCTCCAGCAGCTGCTGCGAGTTGCCCAAGGGAGGAGGCCGGCAGTGACAGCCACGGAGAGGCAGTGGGGTGCTCCCTCGCAGCCGCCGTCGCTCAGGACATCCCTGGCTCTGGTTCCTCCCTGAGCTCGGCTGCACTGGGGGGGGGGGGGAATCCAGGATCAAATCAGAAGCCGGGATGTCTTCTGTAATTCTGGGTCTGTCCCTGGAAAATTGGGACACTTGGTGGGTATGTGGTACTGGAACATGTTATTCTGGTTTAAGTAAAAGTTTATTGCACTTAATGAGGCTTCCATATTTGTATATTACATACAGGATGTTTGATTAACATAATGTGCTCCAAAACTCATTGACGGCTTCCAGAAATGAGCAGCCCATAAAAGGAGGTCATGTTTAACATTTGCTCTCAGCGTGGCCAGTCAGCTGCCTGTGGGAAGGCCAAAAGAG